TTGTGGTGCACTCGTAGACACAGCCATCGAATTCACATTTGAATGCCTTAACCCTCACGGTGTGGAAGTGCTTGAGGTGTTCCTTCATGTGGTCCACAGATTTAAACACTTTATGACAGTCCGTGTGGACACAGACCACCCTATCGTCCGCATGCGTGCGGAACAAATGCTCTCTCACTCTAAGCCAAGTGGCGTAAGACTTGTGACAATCAGTTTGCGGACAAATGTATGAATCGGTGGTCACATCCAACAACTTCTCGCACTCTTCACGTGATAATCGATTGAATTTTGAAATCCTTTTCTTTGGCTTGGATTCAGTGGTTGAGACTTTTGAATGGCTTTTCTTGTGAGCCTTCAGCAGGTGTTTGGATGTAGAGATGTATTGGCAGTCATTATAATCGCATTTAAACGGCTTATCCCTCGTATCCATCAATTTCTTACGGTTTATTAATTTGTTATTTTTAGTCAACATTTTAGTCGTTTTGACATTTTTTCGGTTCAAATGACCATTTGTTTCGCTCGTAGTCTCATCCCATTCATAGTCTTGTAATGGCTTAATGTCATCAGTGGTCACCACTTCTTGTGTCTGCAATAACTCAACGAACTCTTGTCTGTCTTGGGATGAAATCAATGTCTCGTATTTCGTGTGAATTTTAATTAAATATGATTTCAATTGGTTTGCAAATAATAACTCATTCATTAGTCTCTGGTTTTCAGTCATTAATTCATCGAAAATATCATTAATACTAATAACAAATGACTTATTTGTCTTCATTTGAACCATAACTCACTTTAAAGTGGTTGACATAACAATCAATTAGTAATGATATCCAAAAACCTATTTAACGACAATTCAAAAGTAAATTCAGTAAAAGTTTTGAGAAAACAAAATGTAAACAAAACACTCAAACCGTGAGTGCATTAAAGGGACTGTCATTTCAGTTCAAACATATCTTTATTAAAACCAAGAAATTCTTTATTAAATACAGAATTGACGGCAATTTATAGCATAACTCCATTCAAATGTAAATCAAAACTAATTAGAAACTTTTCTGATGAACTTGCTTATTATGTTTGTAAAGGTTTGAATTATTACTACACCTATACTGACATCCGGGCCAAAGACACGCATATGGTTTCACATTATTGTGAATATTCTTGTGGTCTTTCAAATCATCGATTCGTTTGAATGATTTTCCACATTCAGGCCAATCGCACGCATACGGCCGCTCACCGGTATGCGAGCGCTTATGTTTGGTCATGAGATCAGACCTCCTGGTGCTGTAGTCACATCCGGGCCACTCGCATGACCGTAGCTTAGGCTCCCATACTTTTGGCTTAAACCCATGTTCACTAACCCTGTGCTTAATTAAAGTACTTTCTGAGAAAAACTTTTCATTACATCCGTCGATACGACATCCCTTTCGGGGGACATCACTGTGTGTCCGGTGGTGATCGTAAAGACACGATTTGGTCTTAAATGTCTTGAGACAACCAATGACTTTACAGACATGTAGTCTCTCAGAAGAATGCGTTTCCAAATGATTATTCAAAAGGTATTTTGTGGTGCACTCGTAGACACAGCCATCGAAATGGCATTTGAATGCCTTAACCCTTACGGTGTGGAAGTGCTTGAGGTGTTCCTTCATGTGGTCCACAGACTTAAACACTTTATGACAGTCCGTGTGGACACAGACCACCCTATCGTCCGCATGCGTGCGAAACAAATGCTCTCTGACTCTAAGCCAAGTGCCGTAAGACTTGTGACAATCAGTTTGCGGACAAATGTATGAATCGATGGTCACGTCGAAGAACTTCTCGCACTCTTCACGTGATAATCGTTTAGACTTTTTAGTCCTTCCGACCATTGCTTTTGATTTAATTGTTAAAACTTTTGAATGGCTTTTCATGTGAGTCTTGAGTAGATATTTGTTTTCAGCCATATATTGGCAGTCATTGTAATCGCATTTAAACGGCTTATCCCTTACGTCTGTTGAATATCCCATCCATTCCTTACGGTTTGTTATTAATGTCTCATTTGTGACCAAAGTTTCCTCTGTTTTGATACTTCTTGGGCTCAATTGCTGTCCACTTGTTTGACTCGTAGTCTCATCCCATTCACAGTCTTGTAATGGCTTAATGTCATCAGTGGTGACCACTTCTTGTGTCTGCAATAACTCAACGAACTCTTGTCTGTCTTGGGATGAAATCAATGTCTCGTATTTCGTGTGAATTTTAATTAAATGTGATTTCAATTGGTTTGCAAACAATAACTCATCCAAACCACTTCTTGTGTCTGCAATAACTCAACGAACTCTTGTCTGTCTTGGGATGAAATCAATGTCTCGTATTTCGTGTGAATTTTAATATTTACACTAAAGTTAACCAAACGTTTGTTATTGAGTAGGTTTTCAGAGACCAAAAGTCAGTAATTAAGTAGGTTTTACAGTAATTATGATTATTGTGTGGTCAGTAACCAGAAATAACATCGGTATATTCACTTAAAAGCCAAATATATTTAAATCAAATCAAAACTAAACCATAATTTGTATCAAAACTGATAACAATTTGTTGAAAACAAACACAACCTCTCGGACAGAGCTCAGGGACTGTGCTATCAATGCATTCAAATAACATTAAATTTTATTGAAAAACTTTATCAAAAATGATTACAAATTAAATGAATTGACACGGAATGACCATGATCATTGAACACATAATCATTTGACAATATCCTCTTTATGGACTTGTTTTCTATGTTTGACAACATTAGCTGAATTACAAGACTTATACTGACAGCCCGGCCAATGACACGCATAGGGCTTAACATTGTTATGAATATTCTGGTGAACCTTAAGGTTGGGTTCACACCGGAACCGTTTGCCACACTCGGGCCACTCGC